GGCTGAAAGGGCGAGCATGTTTGGTGGGACGGGGATTCGAACCAGCGACCCGCAGATTGGGAGTCGAGCGCCCTAACCACCTGGCCATGCCGGGCCTACTTTTAATGGACAACAAGTAGAATCCTTTTCAGATATTTCATTTGAAGTTACCTATTTACTGAACATTTTCACACAGCACAGATGGTTACAACTCAGTGAAAAATAAATATGAAGCCCAATCGCTCATTCGATTCACCACTTGTCACTGACTTGTACCGGTTTTAAGAATACAGAAGAATAAATATAGGTTTACGGTGGTGAGTAAAAGACAACTAAAAACATCATACACATGTTGAAAATAAATAGGAAAATGAATAAAATTTTAACGAAAAGTAGGGATCGTTGCTGCAATAAAAAGTACACAAACAAGTAAAGTGACACTAGTTGGATATATTTTAAAACGATTTACAATCCATACTTTGGTTGGCATTGTGATCCGCATAGTTAAATGAAGCAGTCTAAATTTGCCAACAAAAACCGGGATTGAAAATCGTTTTAAAATCAATCCAACTAGTTTCAATTTACTTGTTTGTGTACTTTTTATTGCAGCATTTATTTTGTTTTGGATATTTCTTATAGCAATTCTACAAATAACCAACGGTCCCTACTTTCCGTTAACATTTTATTTATTTTTCCCTATTTATTTGTTCAGTTTTTATATGTCCATGGAATGGACACAACATATATAAACTTTTAGTATAGCCATATCCCTGATAGCTAAAACTTTTATAAGAATTAAAACCACAATCACAAATTTATAAAATGTAATACTGACTTTGGCCTACAGATAAGTGTATAAAGCTGCCAAAGTAGAAATTAAATTTTATAAGTTTGTGATTGTGGTTTTAATTCTTATTTCATTACTTTTTGTAATCCCTACTTCATAATTTTTAATACTCTTGTTTGTTTACTTTTACCTTTAGAAACTGTCGCGTGTCTGTCCATCGATATGTAGCGCCATCAGTTGGGTTGAATTGACATGTTTACCATTTATAAAAAATCCGTATATTTTTATTCATTTATCGGAATACCAAAGCAAATACCCCCCAGACTAGTCACTTAATTTATATGAAACATCTGTAGTGTCCTTGGCATGGGTTAGTAACTGTATTATTGTTTTATTGAGTTTAAAGACAACATAGACATTAAAAGTATTGAAAGGAAAAATATGCATTTTCATGCTCCTGTTATACAGGTGAGAACAATAGCGTATTTTCATGCTCCTGTTATACAGGTGAGAACAATAGCGTATTCCATGCTCCTGTTATACAGGTAAGAACAATAGCGTATTTTCATGCTCCTAATATGCTCGCCATTTCATTCGTGGGGCGTTATAAAGTGACTGTTAATCCTACTATTCGTAGGTAAAGAGTAACCCAAGAGTTGACGGTGGGCGATGTTGACTAGGTGTCTTCTTTCTAGCCTATTACTTCAAAATTAGGGACGGCTAGTGTAGATAACTCTTGAATAGCTTTATATACACAAACGAAAGTTGCTTATTTTTGCTTTCTTTTTTAACGTCTATTTTATTTTCAAACTCAATGAAACAATAACACAGTTGACATCTTTAGATATAATAAGACAAGAAAACTTGTTAATAAAATTGCAATTGAGTCAGCCTTATTGATATATTAGTTTGTTATTTCGGAAAATCCCTTTTTGCAGGTATAGATAAAGTCGAGTAGGAGTGGAAAATGCCTTATTTATAAATTATTAATGAAGTCATTAATGATTTATAAAGGTGTAGTATGCGTTTGCATATTTTATGCGATGGTACAGCCCCTTGTGGTAGAACCACTTATATTAGTACTCAACAAGAACAAGCAAACTGATAAACAGCATTTCATTATTTTGTTGAAGTTATTTGCTAATTGAACCATAAAACTTATCTAAATTGCGCTGATTCTCTTCTACATATAATCTAGGCGAATATTTCGTAGTTGTTTCTATTTTTCTAATATCTAATATTATGTTACGTATTAGAATTTCAAATAGCCTGAAATTGAGTTAATTGATAAATTTAATAAGTTAAATTGTACTTTGTATTTAGTTGTTAAATAAAAGCCGATATATAGTCAGTTTATGATATTTACAAACAAGATTGATACACACAGTTTTCTTTTAATATACACACAACAATACAATTTACAATAACAGTTATTACAAATAGTTATTACAAACAATGATCTATAAACAACAGTTTCACAAACTTACAAGCAATATAAATTCTTCTTTCTAGTCTGGAACTTCTTCAATATCTTATCGATGGTTCACGATGAGCAAGTTGATTACGAGTTGATATAGGTTTAATTCACTTAACAGGAAGCTAGTTAGCTTTGTCCTTCGTTATTTACCAGCCACACATGCCGAGTTTTCCACGATGAATTTATATAATGTTTTCGTAAAAATACTAATGTCCAATGAGAATCCACTGAAGTTAAATGATTTGTAATTTTCGAACTTTGTAAATGCCCCTGGTCAAATATCTGAAGTTTTCCTATTGATTAGCGTTATAACAATCACAGTTATAGCTTCCGAAGTTTATAGCACACCAACTATAGCAAACCAATAATAGATACTCTTTTTTTGCCGCGTCGCGTTGGTTATATTTATAGGCGTGTGGAGGCTTTCTCGAAATTTCAATTTTACGTAACAGTACTGGCGCTAACAAGCGTTTACGTACATACATATATTGTTGATTCTTACTCTCGAGAATCTTCTACAACTTTAAAAAATAGGCGAGAGTTTCGCAATACATATCTGACACTATAAGCTATGCATGTTTCTAAATATAAACTTAATCTAAACAAATGTTGATATTAAAATTCTTCATACTAAACTAAGGTTAAAAATGAGTACTGTCGCTTTAAAAAAAAGTTTAATTATCAAGATTGAGAAAAAATATAATTCAGTCAGATACTGTGATATTTCCCACTTCAAATAAAAGTAATAACATTAACTAATTTATTTTCCTTTTACCTTTTAGTAAATAAATATGAGTTATTGCAAAAAACCTCGTCATTTCCATTGGCATGATAAATGTTTTATAGAATATTACCTATGCGCCTAATGTAAAAACTTATACTACTAAGGTGACGAATTTGATTGATGAGAATGAACAAGTAGCATAAAAAAAAATTACCAGAACATTTATGAAAGAGGCCGTTCTTTGCGTAAAACATTTTATAGCAATTACACACAATCACTTAGGAAACAAAATTAAGAGTATACTCACGTATACCCCCTATTTTATCATGCAAAAAATTATGTTTATATAGTTATAGCACAGCTGCTTCTTGTATTTAACGTTTTCAACATATTCTACATTCTTCTGATGAAGCATTAGCATTTTTGGCTTGAAATAGTCGCATGCCTTTAGACTCCCATAGCTTTAGCACGCTTTGCATGCTGGTTGTGCTTCGCATAATGTGTTAGCTTTTGATCTCACAAATTAGAATCCTCCTTTCAAACGTTCTGCGTACAGGCCTGATATTATATTATACATAAAACTATATAGTAAAAGAAAGAGAAACGGGAGTTCTGTTGACAGTAACTTGAGAATTAACAAATAATCAAAATGGAATAATGGATTGAAGTACGTTTCGCCCTCCCGTGTTGCAAATAAGAAATGAAAATAAATGTATTATGAACTACTTCTTAAGACTAAGCTGACAAACAAATTCTGAATGAAGAGAGTATCTGTAAATTAACAAAGAAAGGTTGACAAACAAATTAATTTAGTTGGGAGTTCTTTTAAATGTGATTCAATATATTAACGAGAACATGTAGAATATCAACTCTGATGGAATATCCAGAAACAGCTTGCAATGAAAATATGGAATTTTGCAGGCTCAAGTAATTCTGAGATATTATGAAATTATATTTGGAAAAACAACTGAACAGTTAGGAAACTATTGCCAGAGAAGACAAAAGGCTTAAATTTAAAAATTTACTGAAGTTTACTGAAGTTCATAAGAAACTGTTTATAAAAATGAATGGTACATTGTTCCAGTTCTGAATCTGGGGGAATGAATTCAATTAAAATTCGACAAAATGGAAAATATCGTACTTCAGGGGTAACCTTTTTTGCAGAGGCGAAAATCCCCCTGTACACCCCCCTGAAATGCACTGTTTAGATTATAAACTAGTAACGCTCATTTTTTAAATAACCAGAATTGGAATAGTCGTGTGTCCAACTAGACAAGCACGTCTCAAAATGCAACTTATTTCAGACGTCGAGAATAACAAGAGTGATAAAGACAATTACGTTAGGCATTGTAATACGTTATACGAACAGTACGCAAGATCAAAACGATTTCATCCTGCATAAGAAACATTTAACTTTCAGAGCAGTCATAGCTTTGGTGGCGCCATCGAGTGACAAAACTTCACAATTGTTATCCAGTAGAATTATAATAACACTCTTTAGTTACAAAACTTCGACATCGAATCTGTAGAATTATACAAAGTTTATATTTATCAAAACAAGTATAAACCTGAATGACAAAACTATCTACCTAAATATCTAGCATTTTTATCTTCTTCAACCTTGTTAGTGTTAGTTGATTTGGTTTCTTTTACTTTAATTTGTGTGATTAATAGACAATAACGTTTCTGTAAAATATTCACACAAAAAATTAATAAGTTTCTAAACAACAGCCGAGCACATATAGCAGGATTATTGTTTTATTTTTTGTCATAAATCCTTAACTGTCTTATTATCAGTAAAATTCCGTAAAGTGGCTTTAGTCGCTCATTACAAGTTTTCTTGTTGTTATGACTCAAATTAAATATCTGTATAAATCTCTGATCTGACATTGAATGCTTTGGCTACATCACCCACTATAAGGACACTATAATTGTAGATCAGTTGAGGGGTGTTAATCGTAGTGAACTGGCCAAAAAATGAAATTCATATGTTATAGTTTGTGGCCAATCAAGACAAATATAGCTTCACTCACCTACACAAGTGGAAAAGGTCATATTCTTCGTCATCAGACTCAACACTGATTGAAATAGGCCATGTAGTTTGAAGTAGAGACTCTCGAATCAGTGACTTCCACCCTCCTGAAACGTCGTAACTGTTATCCGAGCGTGTAAGGCGTCGACGGCGGACTTGACGTAGATTCATCATTTTGTAATCTCGTTCTCAGAGCTTGTATCTTTTAACTTATACACCTGTTGTTGTACAGATTAGATGCAGAGTTTAGTCCATCGTCAGTTGTATACTGAAATTAATAAGAATAATAAATCTTAATCTGGAACAGTCCATTCAAGAAAACATTCATTCACATCATCACAGCTATAGTTATAGAACAGTAAATATATATTCTTGTTTATACGCTTTTATGCAATTGAGAAAAAAAAAAGTGACAAAAAAGAATCAACTGGTTTGCTTCAGTCATTTAGTTATTATGGGAATTGCACCTTTGTTAATATTTTAAAAAGTAAGAAAGCAATCCAAGTCAAAAAGTCATAATCGGTAATGTGTTCAATATTTGGTGACCTCGTCATGTGACTGAACTCAGAGTCTCAAGACAACCAAAACTTATGAAATATTTTCACAGCACAAGAAAAAATAAAGAATAAATGCTAAACACATTCGCCTTGAATTTCTTTAGTTAAATTTTACGTGTTAATCAACGGAAGTAATGACCTATATGACGATTCAAAGGTCAGTAGACAGAAACCTCTTTAATAATATAGTTACTTTCACCAAATCTCTCTTTTGAACTTAAATTAAAATATTATGGCTTGAATGTAGTATTATCGTAAATAACGAACACACGTTTGTTTTATTCACAATTAAGGGTGCGTAAGATAATTATTTGTTAATAAAGAATTAAGATCTACCAAACTAAAGTGTCTGCTACTCTTTACACTTCAAATTTTCAGTGCGATCAAGTATTTATAAAAATCAAGACACGCTTACGGAATGTATATTTAATAAAATGTTCTTAATCTTTAAGCTTTTAACTCACATTATTGTAATTGTATCTGAACCCTAAGGGTAGCTTACTGGTTTATATTGTTACAGTGTTATGAAGTTAGGTGTAAGGAATATCGGTTGGAGCTAAGAAAACGACCAGTTTTTGGCCAGTCTCAAAGGAATGACAGGATTACAGCAATAAATCATTAGAAAATTATAAGAGTGAGAGGCAGCTCTTCTAAGTTCAGTGGCATAGACACAACAAGAACATCCATGGATGTAAAACATTACAATCCGATATACAGAAAAGCGGTGCAAGATCAAGAAGAAAGGGACCTATTTGGCATGGGTTTGAGAAAATAATATAAAAGACAGCAGTTCAACGAAAGACAAATAGAGATCGAGAGAAATGAGAGAGAACAAATAAACCGAGAGGCGAAGGAAGAAAATAATATGCTACTGGCAAGAAACAAAACCTCTCTCTAAATCTGTGTGTTATTGATTATTGTAATAAACGGCAATTTGTTATTTTGTATTAGGATGAGTTAATTTCAGATAGGAATAAGTATAACCTAAAAAAATGGCTAATGAATATAAGAATGGAAAGCGAAGTGCAAGAATAGCACGATTGTAACAAAGTGATGTCAAACTATAGTGACCTACAATGGCAAAGCACTCGTCATTATTAAAGTTTAATTTACATTTTTGTAGCTGTAACTGAATCATAACTACAGCTTACTGGTTTGTACTGCTACAATGGCAAAACATTCTTCATTATCAAAGTTAAAATTTTATAATAACTGAACGCTAAGGGCAGCTTCTATAGTTATACTTCAATACAATACAATGACAAAACATTATCATTAAGGGTTTATATGTTACTTAAATGGTAACCATTGAAACGTGATGACTAGTTATAATTAAAAAAATGTGATTTTTTTCAGTTGTAGCTGAATCCTAAGGAGAGTTTAATTATTTCTATCGTTATGATAACAAAACGTTCTTCATTATCAAAGTTCAAATCACGTTTTACTTGTAATTAGACGTCATGAGCATGTTAGTACAGTTTATGTGGTTACAACGTCAAATAATTCTTCATTTTTACAATTTTAATACATTTTAAAGCTATAACTGGAATATAACGAGCTACTTTTTATCTTTGTAGAACCACAACATTATTAAAGTTTAAATCATATCAAATCGATGTTGAGAACGGCACACTGGTCTCTATTGTTACGTCAACAAAACACTCTTCACTGGTAAAATTTAAATAACATTTCTATATTAATTGCAAAGTCACATTAAAAGTAGCACACTGGTTTTTCTCGTTTTAAATAATTCCAGACCTGGTGTAGGCTAAAGTTATTTTGACCGAACTGTGAATCCGAGATTTCGTCAATGACGTACGCTTAGTCTGTTTAGCAGTTCTCACTAAGTTGTCAGTACACGCCATCTATTATTTTTCATGAGAACATACAAGTATAAACTTATAGGACACTAAACGTTTATCTTAGCTTTGAAACTTCACTCAGACCTTCATAATTTTAATTAGAGAGAGAACTAGTGAGCTGTATATATATATTATTTCTTGACCATGGGCCTGTTAAATATATAATCTACTGGTACTTAGATCCCCGCAAAATAACACCCTAAGTAAGTAGCAAGACAGACGTAGATGAATAAGATGTAGGAGTTGGGAAAATATTTAAGATGTAAGGTTTGTAACAAATAAAGCACGATTATTTTTGTTAAACAGATGCACATGTAAACAATAAATATAAACGACGTTGAAATGTAAATGAGAGCTGATGGTGCAAAGTAGAATATAAATGCAATGAAAAACTGAACTTATACTTGATAATTACAGCACAAATCATAGTTTAAGATGTGCTGGCGTAGTTGTGTATCACCAAATATTCAAGACTTGGAGAAAATTTTCGCGGTTCACAAATTTGAAAAAAAGACAAATAATAACACATTCAGAGACGACTGTCAGCCAGCGCACAGTAATCTAGTTACACTGTCAATAAAACACAGTAATCTAATTAGACTGCGAGTCGAGCGCTCTAACCACCTGGCCATGCCGGACGCCAAATGAGGGAACCAAATGGACATACTAAATGTCAATACATTATGTACTGGGTCAACATAAATCCTCATAACACTATTTGAAAAAAGTTAAAGATCCTTAATGCTTGTACATGTGTTTGAACAGATGTATGGCCATGTGGTATTGCAGTCCCTTACTTTTTGTAACAAGTTATAGATGAGCTTTACCTAGACATGATGTGTGACCTAGTATGACCATAAATTTGTCCCTTATCAAACCTTGATGATATCTGTCAATAAGATGGCTCTCCTCCAAGTCACTTCATTCCAGTACGCGAATGGCTTAATGGACAGTTCCTGGGGTGGTGGATTGAGTTATTATCTACCAAATGGCTGACTCAGTCTTAAGATATAACATCATTCGGTTTCTTCCCTTGGTGTGTGTTGAAAATGTGTACTTATGCTCATAAACTAGTGAATCTGGAAGGTTTGTACCAATCAAACTTGAAGAATGCACGAGAATGGCTTATACCACTCCACACTATTTTGAACATTGTGAATGCATCAGTGCCAACGTTGATTTTTGAACATTCGTATTAAGACATCTTTATTTCATTTTCTACTCCTTCTATTATGTTGTTGTTAAAGTTACCAGTAATTTTTGGTTCATCCATGTAACTGGTTATTTTTCCAAATCGCTTACAGTTGCATTTGTATATTCTGTGAAAAGCAAAGTTACTTTTTTGACCAACCAAAGTTTGGTTGGAATGTACAAACGCATAATGATATTACTGTAAATAATGATAACGAATCAACCGAAGTTTGCAAAGTTAATATTATACTCTCAATATTTCAGTAACATTAACTCAGTTCCAGTAATGAATCAACACACGGTGTTAAAAGCATTTGCCGTTTTCAGTTTCAACCAAAGACATTCTTTATCCACGCATTCTACTTTGGTTTCAATTTTTCTTATTTCATGTACATAAGCAAAAATGCCCCAATAGTTTTGGTTATTGCAACTTAGAATCTCTTTAGATAAATGTCATTATTACATTATAAGTTATGCAGAAAAGACCAAATACGAGAGAGTAAAATATAGGATAAAACATGCAAAAGAAAGATATCAAAGACAAACAGAGGAAACAAATGAATTGTAAAACAAGCTCATAAAATGCCATCTTGTTTTCTACAACACTAAACAAATAAAGGTTATTTTAAGCCCCATGCAAAGCGTAAGGACAAGAGGAAAAGCTGTTATATGATAAGAAACTAATGCGTTATTTTAGCAAGAAGACAACCAGCGTTATTGTTTATAGATGAACTAAAACTTATAAAAAGTACTAATAACTTATTTAACCCGTAGTGCCATAAAATTTCGTTTTGAGAAAAAGCTAAAAGAGCATAAGATAAATATATCTCATATGTGCTTGAGCGAGAAATTCAACTCGTGTAAAAATAACTTCCTTGCCACTGAGAAGCTATCTTTTGATTATTCACTAAAATATTCAGACACAACGTTTGAAGATCATTTTCGTAAGATGCATTCGTTTCAAAACATATCACATGGAAAATGTTTGAGCTTGAATAATGAAGCATTTTAGAAACTAAATTATGCATGAAATGTAGTATGCATAATATATTTAGTGTTTCTTTTCTCCTTTAATTAAATAAGAAAATTTCATGTTCAACAAGAGTTCTCAAAAATATTCGCCCATACACGTTTCTAGCCATGTTTTTAAGTTTTGACAATAGTGTGCTAGACAAGAAATTTGGCTAAATTCCATTCGTTCAAGCTAACTATTGTTCTTTGGTGTTACATATAGTTTATTGTGGGGAATGTTGCTGTAAGTAAAACACATTATGTAAAAGTAGAAAGTGATTTTTATCATTGACAGGTCAGGTGATGCCTTAAGGACCTACCTGCCCTTATTTTGTTCTACTGGAATAAGCATCAGTGAGGTAGGTAGTGCATGCAAACTAAGAGGGATAACATTACAGAACCGTGTACATATTCTTAGCCTGGAATAAGTAAACAACAAGAAAGAAGAAGGTTAAAGCAACAAGCTACAGTCTGAAACAGATCTAGTGACAGATATCTAGTAAAATGCTGTTTATATGATCTGCGAAATGGTTTGCCTTTGATTGTTTAGGTTGTTAATGGATATATTTTACTTTTACATTGCGTTTTGTCTCCTCCTTTAAACTCAGTCAGACTAAAAACTCAATTTAAGTCTGTGATATATTTCC